CCTCCCCCCTCCTCTCTCTCTCTCTCTCTCTCTCTCTCTCTCTCTCTCTCTCTCTCTCTCTCTCTCCCTCCCTCTCTGAGACAACGTTTCTCTGTGTAACTCTGGCTGTCCTGGAACTTGCTTGTAGACCAGGCTGGCCTCTGCCTACCTAGTGCTGGCATTAAAGGTCTACTCCACCACCACCTGGCTGCCAGTTATGTCTTGAAGATCGATGTATAAAGATGTGAATGTGGCCTCCACTTATCGAGCCATCACTGGTGTTAGCCACCCTAACCATTGCTGACATCTTTGTCTCATTCAATTCCCTTAGTAGCCTCCAGAGTATGGCGTTACACATGGTGACTGGGCACAGAGAGGGTAAATCTCAGTCCAGTATCACAAAGCTGTAAGCTGAACTCAGATTTCCTTATGAGTCAAACAGAATGCCTGTGCCATGGTGACACCCAGCAGGGGAACTGTCACCTCCTTTCCCCTTGGCTAGCCCCTGAGCCTCAGCAGGGTGTCATTGCCTTGGGACCCACATTCATCCTTTCCAGGGCCCCAGCTGAGTGGAAAATGTATGTTCCCTGGGAAAGCATGCAGAAGTATATGGAGGGTACAGCATGGGGCTGAACCCAATGTTGGGTGTGGGGAGCAGGGTGCCTGGCTTGAACCCACCACCCTCTCTTGTAGGACTCTACTTCTGTCTCCCAAGGGTCCTGAGACTCAGAGAGAGATACTGTTGCTCTTGAGGGATGATGAGCTTAGACAGATCCTGGCATCAAAGCCAGGCCAGGTCCAGCCCTGGCAGTAGTGATGGAGTTTGTGGGTGGGGTAGCTGTCCTATGGAAGTGGATCACAGGGGAAGGAAAGGAAAAAGAAGAAAAGAAAGAAAAGGCTAGTAGAGCAGCGTATGGAGCCCAGGACAGGGAGTCAGAAGACAAAGGTTCCACCCTTTCTTAGACTGCCCTTATCCTCATCTGTAGACCGAGGATTAGACAAAAGTTCTCTACAGACCTTTCCTCAGGGTTCCTCTACCCGATCCCCAAGCCCAGGGACTCCCGTGCTCACCTGAGAAAAGCCTGTCTGGTTGGGATGTTGGCAGGAGGATTCTGTAGCCTGAGTATGTCCCTTGTGACTGTGGGCTCTGCATAGCCTTTCCCAGCTCTCCTGCCTGGGGAGTGACTCAGGCCCAGCCTGGAGGGGGCTGGACCAACCCTGGCTAGGGAGAAGTAGTAGAGAAAGATCAGGGCACTGAGGCAGAATGGGTGGCTCCCTCAGCTCATCTGGCATAAGGCCAGTTGGTGGCCAAACACAACACCGGTAGGGGCTTCTTTTCCCGGGCACCTGCTCCTGTCTTTCTGTGTTGTTGCCAGTAGATGGCGGAAAGGAGCTGACTGAAGCGCTAGTGGACTCGTTTTTTTTCTGGAGTTGTCTCTTCTGTCACTGGACTGGAAGTGACACAGGTGGGGAGAGAGGGCAAACGACCACCAAGTATCTTTCTCCCTCCTCTTACCCCAGCCAGCTGCGGGATTCCGATCAATGTTGGGGTGCCTTCCTTCCAGCCCTGGTACCCACTTCCCGGGGACGGAAACGCCAAGTGGGCTGCTCGGTGTAGGGTGGCCTCTCTCGCTGACGCTCAGCTTTCTGGTGCTGAAGTCATCCTTTTCCTAGGCCAGGCTGGCATGGGGGTTGGTCCTAGTGACTTGAAACCAAGGGTTAGGGACTTCTAGAACTACTTTTATGAGCCCGAGGAACTACCTGTAAGCAGTGCACAGAGCGATCCCCAAACATGCTGTTCTCTGCTCCATGTCCCGCCCTTCTTTCCGGTGCAGAGCCCGATCTACCCCCGTGCCCCCTCGTCCTCCGTGCCACCGTCTCTGTCCCTTCAGATCCCTTCTCTGGTGTCAGTCTCTCAGACGCTCACTAGTCACGGCGTCGCTCTCTTTCTCGCGTTCCCAGCTCAGCCTGTCCTGGGGATCCCGCCGCTGCCCCTCCCGCGTTCCCGCGCCCTCGGGTCCCCTCCCCACCGTCTGCCTCCAGAGTTCGTGTCGCCACCCCTCGACAGGCCCCGCACTCCCACAGCCTGGCGGAGCGGTGGCGGAGGCGGAGGCGGACTCCGACGGGGCGGGCCGGGGGCGTCGCCCTTCTTCCCCCACGTCGCAGACGCCTGGGGCCGAGAGGTCGCTGGGGCTGGGGGCGGGCCGGCTCGCGGGTAGTCCGCGTCCCCGCCCCGGGCCCGCCGGGTGCCGGGCCGGATGGGCTGCACCGTGAGCCTGGTGTGCTGCGAGGCGCTCGAGCCTCTGCCCTCTTGCGGCCCGCAGCCCCCGGGGACTCCGCCGGGCCCCGCGCGGCCCGAGCGCTGTGAGCCCCGGGGTGCGGCGCCGGTCCAGAGGAGGCGGCTGCTGCTTCAGGTAGGGAGCTGCGGGCCGGGTGCGGGCAGCGGGCACGGGAGAGCTCGGTCCATCTGGGACAGTAAGGAGTCTGGGTAGGAGAGTGGGAGGGCCCTGCAGCCAGTTCCGTGGAGGTCACACCTGAGCCTCTGGTGTCCTTCAAGGGCAAATACCTGTGAGACGTCGGTGGCAGGTCTGTAATCCACCGCTACCGAATTGAAGCAGGGGGAATTATGAGCCAAGGCCAGCATAGTGAGATCGTTTCTCAAACAAACTAAAACCTACCAAAACCCCAAACTCAAACTCGCCCAAACACCAAAACCAGCAAGACAAAAAAGCCAAAACAAGCAAGAAGAAAGTGGAAAGAGCAAGTGGCAGAGAGAGGGAGGCAGCAGGCAATTAGTGAGAATTTGGAACCACCCAATGGTGCTGAGGGGAGGAGGCAAAGGTTGATATCCCCTTAGCTTGGGGTGGGAAGCAGAGTGGTGGGTGTCTTGGTGTTTTCTACCAGGAGGGAGGGGCTGTCGGAGCCAGCAGGGCCCACAGCAGGGTCTGAGGAGGTGGGTGGGTCCACCCGAGTCCCCCTTTCTCCTTCCTTCCTATTCTTTTCTGGGTGAGTCTTGGAACCTGGATGTTGAAGAGTGACCAGGAGCAAAAATAGCGATGACCAGGGAAGCAGACTGGCTGGACACCCCAGGCTTTGCATAGGCTCTTTATTTTCTTGGAGAGAAAAAAAAAAAAAGAAGAAGGTGTTCTGTATCAGCAGGGCCTGGCCAGCTCTAGTCCAGCCCCTGCAGAACCCCAGTCTCCCTCTCGGTTGGGACAGGGGGAGCAGCCTCAGGGGGTTGTGTGCTGACTTTGTCCTGGGTGAGACCCGGGCCCTTCAGTTCTTTCTCCCCTGGAGGCCAGCAGGGTTAGTGTTGACTGCAAGTGCATCCTGTAACCACATCCTGGCATCTCCATGTGGACAGAGAGAGGCCAATATGGCAATGTGTACCTACGTACATGTTTTTGTGAGTGTGTCAAGTGCCTAAGACGCCCCTTTGCACCACTTGACTGGCTGTCCCTCTAGGACACAGACGATAGCACATTTGTGGTTATATGCCACAGGCACAGGGAACTTGTAAATGAAATGCCCTATCCTGCAAGGTAGTAAGCAGTGACTGGTCATGATGAAGGATGGATCTGGGGAGAGAATTGTCATCTGTGTCCCAAAGTGGCCGGTGTCCTAGCTGGATTCTCATGGAGTCTGGGGGAGGACTTGGGGAGCCTGGAAGTAAGAATTGGGTATCCTAATTACTGGTGATGGGCACAGAACTGAGGTGACACGATAAAGCTCTTAGACTTCTGGTCCCTCTAGAGTCATTAGGATATCCTCCCCAAACCCCACCCCAGCTTAGAGCCTCTCCCTCCTCTACCTTGCAAGATGTCCAGGGTTGATGAGGAGACCAGTAGCCCTCCCTATATCAAACCCTGGGTTATCCAGGGTGAGTCTGAGCTGCTCGCTGGGGTTTGGAGATTTGAGTAGAGAACCCTGGGAGGCATCTCAGAGTCCACTGTACCTTGATGCTCCTACCTCCTGCTTGGCAGAGCTCTCCTGGCTGACCATCCACTCCCCTGTTTTATTCTGCTGCTCTTCAGACATGGCCCCATCCCTTCTTTGGTCTCTCTCTGGACTCAGGACTCTTACTCCCTCCCACTCTCCCTGCAGTCAGCCTTGACATGGGGGGGGGGGGAATGCCCATTGGTCATGTGATGATAGGCAGGGATAAATAATTGGGGCTGAGATCTGAGAAAGGAACCAGGGGCACTTGAGGTGGGTGAGTCAGGGGAGGAGGAGGGGAGAGGGATTTGTATGAACCCTGTGTGACAGCGACAGGGACAGGGATGTTTGTATTCAGGGACAAGTGTCTGTCTGCATTTGGATGAGCTGGTTTTCCAGGGGCCTCTTGGGAGAGCTTGCTGTGACTCATTCCCTCCCTTATCTGCATGGATAAGGCTCCATCTCAGCCATGTGCCCAGGTCCTGGTTCAAGTAGAGGCTGCTGGGCTGGCAGCTCTCTTGCTTACCCAGGACCCCATTCACAGGCAGCTCTCAGG